ATAGGTTCTATCCCCTCTGATGGATTCATGTGCCACCAAGCATTTGTAGTATCCTGGAAAGAGCGCTAAATGTGGCCCCTGACAGAGACACAGCACTGGTATCCCTAAGACTCTCTCACTTCTCCAGAAAAAAACACAGAAACATCCTGTTGCCCTACATCTCCGAACAAGGCAAAGGATTGTCACCATTAGAATCAAATCTCCCAAAAATAGCATGCTGGCAATCTTTGCTTTAGGCAAGCAGATCACTCATTAGAATTTGCATTGCTACCTGAAAATTCATTTTCTCTTCACATGGTATTTTTCTCTCAAAAAAAACTCACTGGAAATAGACTTCCAATATTGAGTTCTTTAGGAACCACGAGTCAAGGAGCCTGCTGTCAATAATGCTGCAGTGTTAGATGGCTACTTTATATTTTTCTAGCAGTGTGAGGACAGCCCCATTCTTCTACCACTGTGGACCCAGTTATCGGACTAAGGCTCCAAGACAGGGAGATTGAGCTTCCTGGCATTCCTTCGGCTTACTGAGGGTATCCGCCAAGTTTGTTGGCTTTCTTTGGCAGTCTTATAACTTGGCAACTGTCCGTGGGCTGTGATGACCGGCATCCTACACCCTCTAAATCTTGTGACCACAGAATAAAAGCCCAATATTCTCCCACAGAGTTTAGCATTGCTGAATTACTCATTTGTTCAACAAATTCCGAATACCTACTCCGTGCCAAGCATTGTTTTATATGATTAAAAAAAGAGAGTCTCAGCTTTCTTGGATATGGCATTGTAGTAAGGAGGGAAATAATATACAGAAAAATATATTAAAATTACAATATTTTGTATAAAAACTGTAAAGGAGACTGGAGAGTTGTAAGGAAAGGAAAGGGCAAGAAAAATGAGATGTTGCCTGTGCTTTGTTTCAGTCCTTGTCTAAAATCAAAAGGGTTGCTCAGCCTTCTTACTCGCATTAAAGAGACAGGGGCCTTTCAGGAACTTGATTCCTTCCCACGTGCAAATAGGAGCAGTGCTGCCCTGGACGCACCTCCAGCAGCCAAGCTGACAGGGAGGGAGTAAGTGATAATGCTTCAGGAAATGAGTTAACAAAAATCAAAAGGAAAAGAAACAGTCTCAGCTCACCGCCTTCAGCTGTAATGGCCTTAACATTTCAGATAGTGTGGGGAAGAGGAGAGCGAATCTGGCATGCTGTAGGCAGTGTGTCAGTGAGAAGCCTGAGCTTCCAGGCATATTTAGAGGAATACTCCATTTCCAATTAAAATACACAATTCTAGAGGTACCACCACAAATAGGTGGAAAGCCAGATCAAAGGAGATAAAAATTGGTCACATTTCAATATGCTATTGGACATAGCAGCCTTTTTTGGTGCAATGTCTGCATCTCTACAAGCTCATTTTGCCCCCAAACTCATGTTTGTTAAATCCCAAAAGAGGCTCTTTGAAAAACAATTGGAGTGGTAGTTATTTTTGAGGCTTCTTGACAGGGAAGAGAGCACAAGGCTATTTCTAGGATAATGAAAAGAATGTAAATTTGAATCTGAACAAGTGGATGGAGATGTAAAAAGTCATTGCATTGTGCTCTAACTTAATTTTTGTGTAGATTTATTATATTTAATGTATACTGCCAATTTTGAAAAAGGAAAAGAAAAAATAAAGGCGAAATCTAGATTTTTGGCCTTCAGATACATGGTGCACTCTATGGCTCAGGCAGAAATGGAGTAGATCATTACCATCCCTTCCCATTTGCTCAGTGGAGGACATGAGTTAGCAAATTACAACTGTTAACTCTCCTTATTATTGGAACCCATTGGGTTCTAACACAAATCCTAGCTAGAAAGAAAATGAAGGAAATAAGGATGAAAGAAAACATTCACTGAGTTTCTGGCTGAGACGGGGTTCAGGGATAGTTTTATGCTTTGGGAGAATTTCTCTCAGTTGGATTTTCAATGCTGTTAATACTTCTGACCCCCAAAATTCTGGATCCTTGTAGGATCCTAAGATCTGCCACAAAAGCAGGAATAACTGAATAAATGTGAAAGGTTCACTTTGCAGAAGAACCAAATTCAGCAAGGGTATGATTAGGAATATTAACATTGGGTAATTTCCTATAGCAAATAACACACAGTTACATAACACGTTGCATGTTTTTAAGCTGTATTTGTTAAGACTACTATTACTTTATAATTTCTTTAAAATTTCTATAAACTTTCAAAGTTACAAAGCTCTCGATTTTGACTGGTATTCACTTAATTCATCCACACACAGTCTAATTATTTTCATATGATGAACATTTCTTTTAACTTTTTTGAACTGTAAATTGATAAATTACATATATTTGTTGGGTACAAATTGATGTTATGATTTATGAATACAATGTGGAATAATTAAATCAAGCTAATTAACATATCCATCACCTCAAATGCTTCTTAGCTTGGTTTTGGTGGTGAGAACACCTGAAATTTACTCTCAGCGAGTTTGAAATGTACAATCCGTTATTATTTACTGTATTTCCCACGCTGTGCGATATATCTCAAAGAAAAACTGCTGCTTCTTTGTAATTCAGACTTTGTGGTCCTTTGCAAAATTATATACACTACTCAAGGTGTAGATAAACATTTTGGTATAACAAAAATATTCCTCTTTAAAAAACAGAAAGAAATAAACAGATTATCATTATGGTAATAACCATTTTAAGCACATGGGTCCTTTTGAGGTTTTCTCGCCACTTACTATAGTGTCAGATGCATTTTTTTTGCCAGAGGTTTTCACTTTGGTTCTTTCACTCTTATTTAAAGAGCCCATGTTATTGATCAAAATAAAACAGAATTTTCCAAGACATCTTAGTAAAGTCTTCATGCTGAGAAAATTATTTGTATGTTTATATCTCTATCTATCAAAGGATCATAAAATTTACAAGACTCGTTTTCCTGTATAAAATGTTATTGTTAACCTAGAGGCTTGGAACTCAAAACCATTTTTTTCCTTTTGAAACATGGTATTTTTGGGTTTTCAGATTAGCCCACCAAAGCTGGCTAATTTATTCAGCAATAAAGGTAACATTCAGCCCATTTATGATAAAATTTTAATAGTAACACAATTATAATGACAAAAAATTACTGAATAAACTACAATTTTACTTTGAGCCATTGTCTAAAGAAAAGTACATTTAATTACATGAAGATGGGAAAGCTGATGAATAGTTTCCATGGACATTTTCAAATAATCTATACTCATCAACACAGATAATACAGAATGAAGAAGAAAAACAAAATATGAATCATCACCCCATCAACCATAAATATCTACTCTTAATATAGTGGTGTATTTATTTCCATGATTGAAAATGTTTTTACATAATTGAGATCACACTGTACTGTTTTACATCTTGTTTTTCAAAATGATTGTTGTATCTTAGCATTTTTCAAGATTATCAGCCTGAATTCTTTGTATAATCTCACTTCAAATCCCAATCCTTTCCCTTATTTAAAATAAATGCACCATCAACTTTTTGTTTTGTTTTTCCTTGGATAGAATGTAAAATGAAGCAGAGGAAGGAAGGAGAAGGGAAACAGGACAGGAGAACAAGAATGAGCCTGACAGCAAAACAGAGTTTAGTTAACAATGCGAGAGTTTGGGGGGAGGGGAATAGGAGCATCCTTCAGATCTAAAATATATATTTAGATACAATAAATAAAATTTGGAGCAGTGACCATTAGAATAATAGGGATTCTAGTATTACAGTCAAATAGAAATAAAAAGAACCTTATTCTATCTCTTCATAGGATTGACGAGAAAACAAATATTTAGCAAATTTAAGACTAAGGACAATTTAAGGCAATACTGGGAGAGGAAGCTAGATCTGCTGATCTTCAATCCTAACTTCCTTCCTTGAATCTCAGAGGCATAGGAAAACTGACGAGTAAGAAGTGCACGGCATCCCTTTGAGAGTAAAAAAGGAAGAAGAGAGGGTGCCTCAATGACTATCCTTATCTAAGGCCCTGCCACAGTTGGCTGGAGCTCAGACACGTTCAGGAAAGAGGCAAAGGTGACAGAGTAGCCTCTCTTGTGGGTTTTACTAGCTCGAGGACTATTTGATCTGCAATTGTTAAAATCCTAGAATGAATGCTACAATATATTGTTAACTCATCCTCGTGGATTAGTGACTAAAGATTGTGGAGTTAAGCATTTTCCATTCAATGGAAGGAGACCCAGCATTATCTCAATTTTATGCTCATCATGTCACTTACTCTTTTTTTTAAAAAAGAATTTATTTATTTATTTGAAAATCAGAGTTACAGAGAGAGGGGAAAAGGCAAAAGAGACCTTCCATCTGCTGGTTCACTCCTCAGATGGCTGCAAGGGCCACTGTTGGGCCAGGCTGAAGCCAGGGGCCAGGAGCTTCATCCAGGTCTCTTACATGGGTAGCAGAGGCGCAAACACTTGGGCCATCTTCCGCTGCTTATCTCAGGCCATTAGCAAGGAGCTGGATCAGAAGTGGAGCAGCCGGAACATGAACCGGCATCCATATGAGAAACCCGCACTGAAGATGGCGAGTGTATCCACTACGTCACAGCGCCAGCCCCGTCATTTGTGGTTCTTGAAGCAAAGCCCACTTATCCAAAGTATAACTCTGACACAGTATAAACCATATGTGTTTTGGACATCAAGTGTAGTTAAGATGCCATTATTCTTCTTACACCATTTCCAGTGGTCTTGTTCATTCCAGAATAAGCTTGAAACCAGTGCCTTTGGTGGGTAGACAAGGGAAAAGGGAGAGTCAAAGTCTGGGCAATTGAAAGTACAGAGAAAGGGATTATGGTGAAATACTACAATATTTTAACAATTACTAATGACCAGTTTTCATTTGAAAAACAGAAAGCACTGTCCTGAGAGCATAGATGGCATTATTTCAATTAATGTCACTTTACTTAATATTTCTCAAGAATTAGACTTCATATATTTAACACTGAATTTTAATTTTTTTCCTTTGTTAAGACTCACCTTGACTTTATCCTGTCCCATGGACTTGAAGAACTTTCCAATGGATGTTCAGACGTGTACAATGCAGCTGGAGAGTTGTAAGTCACCACTGTTTAAATGACTGCCTGTTTGCTTTCACCAATGACCTGTTTCTTTTAGTGTCATTAAAGATAAAAGACCTGTCAGACTCATTCTCTACCTATTTACCAACCCCCCAGTGTCCTGATAGAAGGACAAGCAAAAGTGTGAGTGTCTCATATGAGAAGCTCATTATTAACAAAGCACAGAAAACCTTTCAAAGGAAAATGCCAAATTACTTGCCCTTCCTCAAAAACAAGCCAGATTTAGTATGCTTTTCTTTGAAATGAAAATGACTCCTGAGAAAACTAAGATTGTTAGTCATTTAACACTTATAATGAATCACTCTCTAATCATAAAACTGCTTTTTTTCCTATCTAAAGCCCATATAAACAGACTATCCCCCCCAAGGAATTCTGGCAGGAAAGGATAGTTGCTTTGAGAACAAGACACAGGGGACTTAGAGGAGGCTGCCAGAAAAGGGACATGAGATGGGATGGAATAAGATAGAATAAGACGCATATCCCTTAGATAGGCAGCGGATACACAAAGGCAGAGAGATGCCATCTACTTTGTCCCTTTTATGCACTAGCCCTGATGACGCTGAAACCTTCGACACATGCCACAAGTCTTTGATGCCTCCAAGGAAGTGTGATTTTTCAGTTAAGAGACAGGATTGCTTTTTATTTTTATTTATTTATTTTTTGCTCTGTCAGTTACTGTGCTTGTAAAATGCAGAGAATAATAAGTACTACTGACCCACAGGGATGTTCGGAGATTTAATGAGGCAGGGGCAAGGAAATACTTTTAACTTCTTGGTTTAGAAAAACAGTAAGTGTAAAAAGACAACATCAAGTATTATTTTAAAAGAGGCAGTGACAGGGCTTCTTTCTGATCATTTAAAATCACTGTAGATTGCCCTTGAAACTTCCTACAGGAATAAACAAAATAATGAAACATCTTTGTTTCAAGAAGTTTTCAGAGATAAAATGAGAATTTCTGATTTATAATCAGCTTTATGTATTCATTTTTTCCTATTGCCCCTTCTTTTGAGAATCAAGTTGAGAAAAACATTTTCTTACATAATGACTCCTTTTTTTTGTCTTCTCTCACCTGCCTCGATGCAATAACTTATATTCTTTGTAAAATAGCAGCCATGATTGTCAACTAAGGATCACCCAAAGCTTAAAAATTTTCAATTAGACAATATGATTGATCCTTGAAGGACCTAAAAATAATGAATTTAACAAACTGGTCATATGCTTACTACTAACACTGGATTTGAAGGGTGGGGACTACCTTATTTTTCTACCCCAATATTACCTACTCTCCTCATCTCTTGACTTTACGTCTCTATCCGCCCTATGCTAGGATTGCAGTGAGTGTGAAGAGGAGTATCATTGTGGTGGCTGTGGGCATGCTCACTAGACAAAACAGGGAGTGTTAGGTGAGATTCCAGTATTTGTTGGAGATGCCAGGGATGTAATCACACAGAATTGTGGCAAAATGTATAGGGTTAGCCATTCTTTTTTGGACCATCATCACTTGTTCAGGGTCCTCTGATTCCTTGTTTTCTGTATTTTCCTTTTTTTGTCCTGAGATTGAAAATGTGGTCAAAAAAAGAGAAAAGTAGATTCCAATTAGATTTGTTATTGATTTCTGAGTAGCTCCGGTGAGTCACATCTTGCAGTAAACAAGAATAAGAACCTATAAACTTAATAGAAATGCTCTGAGGTTATTGGCCTTCCAAGACCTCATATAATATCCTTTGTCCTCATCAATCTCATTTTAAGAGTAACAATATCACAAACAAAAGGGGAAAACAGAAAAATGGTGCACAAAAGAAGAGTAGCCTCCATTTCTGGAGTAGACAAAGAAGCCAAAATCACTGAACAGATAACGACCTAGTTAGCAGAAGTTTGGAGATTTAGCAGCTAACTTTAGTTTACTAAACGAATAATTATCTTACTTTGGATGGTTCAAGTTATATAATAATATGACCTGACATAATAAGGAATCTATTTTACTTCATATTAAAAGTTGTGACAAGTGGGCTCATTTAACAAGACACTGGCAAAAATGAATATTCTTGATTTGCATATTCTACAACTTCCCTTTAGGTTACCTGCCTATGGTCTTACCTACTTGCTACACTGAAAGTTGATCATAAGAATTTTAATATAAGATTACTGAACGCAAAACTTATAGGCCCTAGGAGTGGAGCCAAATTTGCAATGGGAATTCAATCTCACTTTTTAAAAAAGAATGGTTTTCATTTGAAATACTAACAATTGCACCATGAGTTGGACTGTTTTATTTAATAGCCACATGCACAGCTCTTTCAAGTAAAGCCAATCTTCAAAGAATTTTTTGTTTGTTTACTTGTAGAGTTAGTGAATAAAGAAGCAGAAGAAAATAGTTTATGGATTCCATTTTCTCACTACACAGAAAAAAAAATCACTCAGAAACAGCCTGATGTCTTCAGTGTCTTTAGTTACCACGACATGTAGTCACTGTGATGATTATAGCACTCTTAGTAAGAACGCTGTTGAATTAACTGAGCATGTGTTTGTTTAGACAAGTTCCTAGTTTGTTTCTTTACATTCTAGACTTTCAATCTTCCTTGAAAAGATATACTCAGTTTTTCACTATGTTTTTTTTTTTTTATTACAGTTGGGTACACGATGAATGACCTGATATTTGAGTGGTTAAGTGATGGTCCAGTGCAAGTTGCTGAAGGGTTGACCCTGCCTCAGTTTATTTTGAAAGAAGAGAAGGAACTTGGCTACTGCACAAAGCACTACAACACCGGTAAGTTTTCTTCCAGCTGCTAAACCCACAGGGGCTCAGAGGATACTTATCCAAATCATCTTTACAACTACATATTTACCAAGCAAAGGAGCTCAAAACCCCCTTAACTGATAACATTCCTGCTCCTTCTTGAATAGGTCAGTGAACACAATAGATAATTTCTCCAAAACATAGAAGGAGAAAGAATTGGGAATCTTTTGCTATTCTGTTGCTGACCATTTGTTGTCAAATGGTCAAAGGAATGTGTACATCTCCTAGGTGTACAAGAAATATATGAATTCTGGCCTGTTCCTGGCAACCACTCTTGACATTGCATCCTCAAGTCAATGTTCATCCTCTGTTTTAGTGGAAGAGAGGGATAACACGGGTCTTTGAGAATTCAGAAATAGAGCTGTTGTGCTCTCTGGTCCTGGACAGTAATAGGAGTTTGGATGAAAATCAGCTGGCAGGAATTCAGCTGGCTCTAAAGTCAAATATTATCAGTAGTGCTGACAGACACATGAGCTAGGGAGAATTTGAGGTGGCAGCAACACACGGGCATCTGTTGTTGCCTGGAAGATTATGCCTGCCCAGTAAATTTGACGACTTTTCCTGTAAATGTCCTGGGCTTTGATATCATGCAAGCTGACCATGGAGAGGCAATCAAGACATGATGGTTTGTGCAATGACTAGTCTGTGTCCCCTGCTGAGTACAATGGTCCATGAACACTTGCTCCGGCAGCCAACAGTGACTTCCTATGAAGTAACTAAAACCTGATTCCAAGGTGTTCTTCCTGACCAAGCAGAATTCAATACTCTCTCTTATAATTTCTGTGAACTGAGCCAAATTACCTTCTGGGGTTCCTAACCCCAAGCCAACTGAAGAAAAAAGAAATGGGAAGAATCAGGGACATTTATCTCTTAATAGTACAAGGGTACTTCAATGGGTTCACGGGCAAATGAAACTACAAGATAAGTTATAATTGCTCAAGCAATTATTCAAAAGGCTAGGAATTTATTATGGCTAAATATATAGCTACTGTAAGGTTTCTTTTTCTTGCAATTGATAATACAAAAATAGGTACACAGGCATTCATATAATTTAGGAGATCCTTATACTACTCAGGAAGGAATGGTTTCGCTAAAATAATACATTGTATATGTTGTACATATGTATTACATATTGTATGCCATGGGTTATAAATTGTGTCCTATATATTACATATTATGACCACACAAAATTTAAAGTTTCTTTCCTCTGGTCAGTTTAGGTCAGTCTTATAAATTTTGAAGTTCAATCTAAAATAAACAAGCACCTATTTTACAAATTTAAATATGTCATATGGTATTTTTTAAGATTTATCTATTTATTTGAATGTCAGAGTTACACAGAGAGAATGAGGGCAGAGAAAGAGAGAGAAAGGTCTTCCATCCACTGGTTCACTCCCCAATTGGCCACAACACCCTGAGCTGCACCGATCTGAAGCCAGGAGCTTCTCCCCAGTCTCCCACATGAGTGCAGGGGCCCAAGGGCTTGGGCCATCTTCTGCTTTCCCAGGCCTCAGAAGAGAGATGGATTGGAAGTGCGGCAGCCACGACTTGAACCGGTGCCCATGTGGGATGCCGACACTGCAGGTGGCAGCTTTACCCACTATACCACAGAGCTGGCCATGTCATATGGTTTTGATCCACTGATTCTTTAGATCACATATTCTCATGCTATTATTTCTATTACTGGGTGAGTTGCAGAATAATTGAATTGGTTGTATTGGATGAGCACTGTGAGCAATCTTTCCAACCCATAGAAAACACTCTTTAAAAAAGATAATAAAGTAGAATGCTGAAATGGGAAAGGCCAATTCAAATTGAACCTGAAATGATCTTTTTGTCCTTTCAGGAAAGTTTACTTGCATTGAGGTCAAGTTTCACCTGGAACGCCAGATGGGATATTATCTGATTCAGATGTATATCCCCAGCCTGTTGATAGTCATTTTATCCTGGGTCTCATTTTGGATAAACATGGATGCAGCCCCTGCCAGGGTTGCACTGGGCATCACCACAGTCTTAACAATGACCACCCAAAGTTCAGGTTCCAGGGCATCTCTGCCAAAGGTAAGAAACCTTCTTGCTTACCAACAAATGACCTGACCAATTCACCAAAGGTATTGTGTACTGCATAATTCTGTGAGGACACAAATGTTGGCCGTCCTTTGGTATGTTGGAGATGTGACAGTAGTAAGAGAACAAAGACCTGAGTTGGAGAGAATCAGGCCTCCGAGCAAATGGGGAACACTCAAAATATGTTAGGGGAAAGTGAAATCAGGATTGAGACAGGAGGAATAAATGGAGGCAGAAACATGGCATGTGAATTCTAAGAAGCCCTGAAGTGCCTTTGACCACAGTTGTTTATGAGCCAAGAAACTTGCAAGAATTGGAGTGAGACTGGTGCAACTTATGCTATAATGTCAAGTATTTATTGGAGAGGCTGTTGTGATTCATGTGCTCCATAAAGCCATTTGCGATAATAAAAGTTTGAATTGTTCCTGAAAATTTGTACAGAAAAGCTATATCAATGGGTGTATACAAGAATGTATAATATCAAGATGCAGCAAAGCAGATACATGAATTTTTGCTATGCATTAATTAAAGGTTGATATGCTCTCATTTTAAGTAACATTGCTACCTAGAAAATTAATGATGGAATTATCCAAGTTGGTAAAAATTCCAGAAATTGTAGCAGGTTAACAGAAAAAAGTGGAATGGATTTCAGGAACACACATTTTTTAGCATCTAAAATAATAGCTGCATAAGCTATTTTTATGAAGGATTCCCTTCAATTTTCCAAGTGCATGAGTTCAATTTAGCATTCAGTGTACACAGTCTCAAACTGATTGAGCGGTCTCTCCAAAATCCAGTTCCAGAAAATAATTGAGATGTAATCCCATATCCTTGCTGGCTTTGAGTTTATGTTCAGTTGAGCTGTTTTTGACATGATGAGAAATGTTGGATCATGCTCCGCATTATCTCCCATATTTGGAAGATAGCATATGGAAGAGGTCTGTGGCCGTGACAGAGGTGGACTTGATACTGCAGAATTAGTTAATACAACTTATTAAGTCTTATGCTCCTAAAGATAAATATTAGGTTCTGTCCACTCAGAGACAGAGGAATAGAGCTTCTGATACTTGTTTAATCTTCTGGAATAATAAGCAGTATAATAAGCATGTGTCTTACTGCTATTGGAATACAGATGTCAAAAACATTAACAGCTTTTTTCAACAATGTAATCACTGATCAATTTACTTAATAGAAATTCTAATCTACTCTGTACCTCTCCAAAATGAGTTAATTTACTTATTTTTCATCAGTGATCAGTTATTGCCATCATTACATGCCATGCCATAAACCTCAGGATGCACAAACATATACTTTACAATCTCATAGACAGCTAAACTACTGGTGAAAAATTGTTAGCAGATAATGTCAAAACATAAGACATTTAGCCTCTAACCACACATTGCTATGAAAGGAGTAGCCATTTGTTTTCAAAAAAGGGAGTTTGAATTTTGTAAATTTGTTATGCATTCTATGAAGCTACTATGATTCTGCATCAATGGTGAAAACTAAATAAAATTGCTAAATAAATTGCCTCTACATAGAAAGATCACTCGTCAGTAGCCATCAGGAACCCAGATAAACCAAAAGAAGTTATAATGAAAAATCATTTTATACTTAGCTCTGTACTCATATTGGCTGTTCTTTTGCCTCTGGCAGGATTATCTTGCTACATGTACTGTTCTTAGGCTATTAGTAAACATGGTTGGCTCTCAACTGACCGTGAGGAGATGTGACTCATATGACAGTGAAAAACCAAAATGCTCTAAAAAGTGAGTTGTGGAAACTAAAGAATTGGCCATACACATATGTGGACACACATGTACATATAAATACTTCTTTTAATTTATAAACTGCAATCTTTGACCACAAACTCCATTGTGCTGATTGAATAGTTGGTCCACAGCAAGTATGCATGCTCACTGGTCCTTAAAAGTAAGGCATATTTGTTATGGAAAACACAGAAACTTTATTAATGTTAACCATCCAGTAAACAACTGTGTTAATAATTTGGTGTATTTCTGTCCAGTGTTTTTCTATGTGCATTTGTGGGCAAACCACTTAAATACACACATACAAAATTTAGATCACATTTTTATGCCGTTTGTATCATCCATTTCCCATGACATTAAAAACCTATTATGAACATAATTTTAATGACTTAATAGTCTATGATGTATTAATCACTCATTTTATCATCTTGAATATTGAGAGTTTCTTCTTCACTTTGATAGGCATGATCACTAGAAATATATTTGTAAACAGTGGGCTTCAATGTGTTCTAGAAGATATATGTATAGTTTTTAATTACATGAATCTACTTATAAACTATATTCTATTCCACTAGTATATCCTTATACCAGTATCACAGATTTTTAAGATTTATATTTTATTTACTTGAACTGTAGAATTATTGAGAGTGAGAGGGAGAGGGAGAGGGGAGGGAGAGAGAGAGGGATAGCGGGAGAGGGCTTGGGAGAGAGGGAGAGGGAGAGAGGGAGAGGGGAGAGGGGAGACGGGGAGAGGGAGAGAGGGAGAGGGAGATAGGGAGAGAGGGCGAGAGGGAGAGGGAGAGAGGGAGAGGGAGAGAGGGAGAGA